TGTCCCTCCATGGATATGCCTCTCCAGACAATCACTGATCCCATCACCAAACCAAACTGGTCATGCTGAATAATGTTATTGGCAGCATAACGTTCTCCACGGCTTCAACAGAGTTTTTCAAGTCTGTCACATGTTCAGGATGAACCTGCTGTCATCTGTGAAAAGCACAGGGCACCAGTGGTAGACCTGCCAATTCTGGTATTCTGTGGTAAGTCAGACTTCACAGTGCCCGGCAGTGAGCACGGGGCCCAGCAGAGGAAGGGGGCTCTCAGACCACCCTCATGAAGTCTGTTTGTGACTGTTTGTCAGAGAGATTCACACCACTGTCCTGCTCATCAGATCATTTCGTAGCTCGGGCAGAGCTCATTCTGTTCCTTCTTGCGCAAAGGAGCAGATAGCACTCCTGCTGGTGGGTTAAGGACCTTCTATCCAGCAGAGTCCTAGAGTAACTGCCTGTCTCCTTGAATCTCGCCCATGCTTTTGAGACTGTTAAGAGACATATCAAAACTTCTGGCTATTCTGTATTGATCTGGCATCCTTTTTTTTTTCTTTTTTCTTTTTGCCTGTCCCGTTTGGCTCTTTTACCATCAGAATTGTTGTCTAAAGGCAAAGAAAGATGCCCAACGGATTTACTTTACCAAATTGACCATCCCAGCCTTGCCTAATGGTCCATTTGATTCACCTTTTATTGTTTATTTTATTTTCACTTACTGAATACGGGACAGACTTGACTGGGGGAAAGAAGGGGAGAAAGAAAGAGGGAAAGAGAAACAGCTGAGAAGAGGGACGGGGGAGAAGGGCAAAAGACAAAAACCAACAGAACGGGCAGAGAAAAAAAAATGCATATATCAATCACCTGGGTCACCTGCTGAGAAAGAAAAAAGAAACAAGCAGAAGAGAACAAGAGTAATAGAATAAACAACATCACAATGATATATGGGAATATGACAGTAAATACTAAATATTAAACATTATTGTGCAGCACATAAGATCAACAGACACACAGTGTGCTTTGAGGTAGGAGCCAAAAAGGGTGTAGTTTGTGGGTGTGATCACCCGTGTGTACACCTGTGAGCATGGACGCGCTTGTTTTTTTTAAAAGGTTCCTTCATGTAATGATCTGCTAGAGGGTGTGGGGGGGCCACAGCCCCGTCCTCCAGGGCATGAAGCAGGTATGGAGGAGATCAAAACTCCAGACATCCAGAGGCCCCCAGAACACAAGAGACCAAGGAAGACCAACAGAGGGGCAGCCGCGCCACTGTCCCAGAAAGAGCTGAGGAGAGTCCCAGATGAGGGCTCACTCAGCAGCCGCGGAGCAGAAGCCAGGGGGAGTTGCAGTGACGCGCCCGTGAGCTCCGCCGGCAGCCAGCCGTGCCTGAGTGACCGAGCCCCAGGCCGAGAGGCCGACAAGCGGCCGCCAAGGAGTGAGCCGGTGTGTACCTGGACGCCCATCCCGGACACAAAGAACCACCAACGCACCGATGTCTGAGGGAGTCCGCCACTGGCAGGGGAAGTGGTGGTGGGGGAGATAGGCCTCCAAACCTTGGAGGGCCTGAGATGTCCCCAGAGAGGTGGCGTCTGAACCCAACCTGACATATAGACACAGACATACAGGCACACACAGATCACAAACATCCATTCCCACCCTCATGCTCTCATATGCACTTACTCCACACTCAACCAACGTGGAGACAGACATAAAGAGACGCTGTACACACGATCACACTCCCCAAGCGTACTCTACAAACCGGGTCTAGGTACCCTTGCCCCTGGAGGGGGGAACTGCACCCAGACCCAGGTGGTGTTACCCTTTTCCCTGCGGTGGGGGGAGGCAGACCGCCCCGACTCCGCAGCAGCAGGGAGGCCCCACACTCCAGACCGCAGTCGGACGGCCAACTCCTCCTCCTAGCCCCCCGCTCCAGCAGGCCGCAGAGAATGGGGGTGAGAGAAGACTCCAAACCTCCCTCCACCCGCTCATTGTAGTGTTGATGCATGTGTGTTCTAAGGTGCATTTAAAACCCAGGAGGGCATGGAGCTACCTGCCAGAGAGCAGCAGGTAAGCGCATAGGTCCCTCCTGCTAGCCCTCAATGTCTACGTGTATTTAAAATTGAGAGGTGGGCAACGACGCCAGGGGTGAGGTTGTACACCCTGATGGTACTTTGGATTCCGTGTATCGTGCCCACCCCCAAGATCCTATATGTATGTGTAATGAGAGTGTGAGTAATGTGAATGTCTAAGTTGTGGGATAAAATTGAGGCAGAGGCAGCCAGAAGGGGACAGAGAGGGGGGTAGCCTCCTCTGCACCCTGGTGACATACCCCTACTCCAAGGCCCTGCATGTGTGGGTGGTTGTGGTGGAGCGGGAAGAGGGAGGCAGCTGGAGATGGGGAGGGAAGGAAGGGAGGGGCAAGTGACCCCTCCCTGGGGCCAGCTCCCCCGCTGACCCCAGTAGGCACCCCCATACTCCGCGACCCGCCAGGGAAAGGGGGCCCGGCCCATCCAGACCCACCCGCCCACAACCCCGGCAACACACCAACCAGGACCCAAGCCCCCGAGGCCCGCCAGGCCCCAGCCCAGAGACGGAGCGCCCCCAGAACCTCACGCCCATCCCGGACCCACCCATCTGGCATCCTGAAGGAGTTGGACTACCTGTGCAGGTATCTCCTCATTCTATGAGTATTAACACTAATCCTAGCCAAAAAAAGAAAAGAAAAAAAGCAGTCAGAAAATATGATGAGGGAAAAATGTCAGTGACCTCCACCTGTAAACCCATTCCTGTTTTGGGGGGTGTCTCATTTTTGCCCGTCTAGTTCTGCTACTGTTACTGTATTTAACACCAAAGTGGCTGAAACTTATTAACAACCGCCTCTTTCTTAACTAACTATACTGTCCTGTTCCAGGTCTCACTCACTGTGGGGTCTCCTTTACCAAAGAGTCCTCAGAGTGGCCCCTGTAAATCCTACTCTTGCTTACCAACTCCAAATTCTTGTTGAAGTTCTCATGTTCCTAATAAAGACTATTAAACTTGTGACTGTGTCTGGGTCTTGATGTTCTGGTCTTTATGACTATGGATAATTTGAAAAGTGGTGGTTCATACAAAATCTTGTATTTGTTTGCAAAAACTAAAGTTCTTTGTCAGTGAACAGTTTATTGAGCTCAAAAGAAAAACTTAATTTGAAATTATGTGAAGCAGATCAAACTGGTATGGTCTTTGGTCAGAATAACAGCTGATTTGAAGTGTGTCCTCATCTTTAATTTCCTTGCCTGACGTGATTTCACTGACACTGAACGGCCACTGTATCAAAGTCTGTTCTGTATCAACGCGAACATGACTCAGCTGCTTATGTCAATAGCACAAGGTCTTGCAAAACACTGGCTTTTGCATGAATTGTGATGGTGGAGAGCATTTTTCGTCACACAACTAAAGTAAAAGAAAAATTACTGCAGAGAAGAAAACATGTAACACCAAATAGTGCATAGTGTGCAAAATGAGCCTAATAACAAAACAGTGCTGAGAATTGTTCGATATCCTTTCACTTCTGTGCCTTATTTTGTTTTCTGTTGACACCACAAGTGTTTCCATGAACACAACTGTTGTAACTTTGTCACGCTAAGGCTCTTTAAATATGTTTTGCAATAGTCATAACTAACAGCAGTACACTTGGCAAGTTTGATAACAATGGGGAGTATTATTGTGCATGTGAAGATTTACACAGTGAAAGGATGCTGGCATGTTTTGATCTATTCTAAATAAGTGGAGGCAATATACAAGGAAACTTTATTCAAATTGTTCACCCTTGCGCTTAGTCATTCATGTTATCTTGTGTCCATGGGAACTCCACAGGACATAAACTCTATATATACACCGATCAGGGATAACATTATGACCACAGGCCTAATATTGTGTTGGCCCCCTTTATGCTATCTGGCACCAAGATGTTAGCAGCACATCCTTTAAGAGGTGGGGCTTCCAGGGATCAGACTTGTATGCCCAGAGCATCCCACAGATGCTCAATTGGACTGAGATCTGAGGAATTTGGAGGCCCAGTCATCACCTCAACCTCATTGTTGTGCTCCTCAAACCATTCATTTTTGCTTCGTGGCAAGGCACTGTATGCTGCTGACAGAGGGCACAGCCATCAGGGAATACCGTAATTAATGAAAGGGTGAACATGGTCTTCAGCAAGGCTTAGGTAGGTGGAACTTGTCAAAGTAACATCCACGTGGATGGCAGGACCCAAGGTTTCCCAGCAGAACATTCTCCAAAGCATTCCTCTAACACAGGGGATAATGGTGCCAGTATTCACCTTGTCAAATCCTTATGCTTGCTCATTTTTCCTGCTTCTATCTCATCAACTGTGAGAACAAAATATCCACTTGTTCCACAATATATCCCAGAAACTAACAGGTGCCATGATCAAGAGATCATCAGTGTCATTCACTTCTGTCTGTGGTCACAATGTTATGCCTGATCGATGTATATATGCTACATAACCATTATCAGTGAGAAACTGCGCAGTAAATGCTCATGCATTCACTTGATGACAGCACAGTGCCTTCTTTTTTTAAGAGGAAAACTGACTAAATCTCATATCATCTTATTTGACACTGGAATTGTTGCTCTATAAATCAGAATGCTGACAAATTTGTAGCTTTTCTGTAGCTCAGCTTCTCCGTTTGCTGCATGCAGATGAAAACACTGGTGCTGCTTACAAGCCGTGCCCGTGGAAGCAAAGCTAACAAATTTCTATTGTTATTTCAACACAGCAGAGGTTATGGCCGAATGTAATGCCTCTTCTCACCGCTAGATGTCAGTGACGTTTATCATTTATATCACGTTTTATCTATTTATTCGCGGTTTGGATTAGGAATAAAACATATGGTAATATAAATTAAATTGTCTAAAGTACAACTTATCAACGGTGACGAAAAGAAAAGATTCTCTGTTGTTGTAACGCCCATCTCGCACTATTGGAGGCAGTATAACATGTCAGGGGTGTCCAGCCTGTCCCTAAATGACATGACGAAGAAGAAACTGCCTGTCACATAAGCAGCTAGCAGAGTGGCTAATATCACCCTGATTAGGCTGTTTTCACTGTCAAAATGGATGTAAATCAGGCGAAACAGGAGCACCTGCTCGCATTAAAAGGTATTTTACTGTTAACATATATGTTGTGACTACAGAGGTTGTCTTCATGGTTAGATGTGTCAGTGTATCGCGCTGTTGTCATTTGCTGCTGCTTCAAGTTGCTAGTAGCGCTAGCGAATGCAATATCATGCATTTACTTTTGTGAAGGTGTAAACAAGGCTGATGGCCAGTGGTGCGACTTTAAAGACTTTTCTTTTCGTTTGGGGCGCTTAAAACATATATTAAAGACCCTGTTTAGCAAAGTGTAGCTTAAGGAACTGTGTCATAGTGTAAGCTAACTCTCTCTTGTGCTCTTAGTTGTTGCAGCTAATTTATTTATTGCACTAATTCGTTTTTTGTTTGTTTGCTTGGATTGGACTTTTTTTTTTCCTCGAGGTAACATTTTTTTTTTTGCTTCTACTTCCTCTAATCTGAATCTGAATCGGACTCAAAGAAAGAACTCTGGGAAGTTAAAGTGTTCATTTTCCTGTTTCTTTTTGTTAGCTTTCAGCTCACCACCCGCAAAAATAAATTCTGAGCATAAGTGATATCCTGCAAACTGTGCAGCAGTCAGAATACTAACGGTATTACTCAAGTATTAGCTACTACAGCTACAGGTTTTATGCAGTAGCGAAGGGAAGATTTTATTCCCTGTTTTTAGAGCACTTCATGGACCTGGGCTTTGACATTTGTGTGAGGACTGCAGAACATTTTACCTGTTAGGCAGTTACAATTTTTTATCAGTGAACAGCGTGTAAGAAATGCATCTTACAACAGTTTTGAGACTATTAAACAAACTTCTGGAACTTTAGGCTTACTGCATTTACCTAGAGAGGGAGTTGTAAAAGTTGCATTCAGATAAGGTAACATATAGTTGTCCTTCACACAAAACCTGTATAATTTGTGCGTTTTAATTTTAATGTCAGACCACCACTTTCCCACTCAGAACTTCTCTTTGTCAGCAGATTCATTCTTTGTTGAAATAATCTTTAGATACACCCCTGTTGTGGGTGATTTCAGTAACTGGTAAGCATTCATTCTTGAATGCAGGCTCCTGAATCCATGTGAAAATATCAGCTTGGTCACTAATTGGCTGCTAACCAGTGTCACTTTACTTTACAGTGATGCGCTTAACGAAGCCCACTCTCTTCACAAACCTGCCGGTGACGTGCGAGGATCGAGATCTGCCAGGTGAGCCTGTTTAAACTTGCAGACAGAGTTCCACCCACCGAGCCTGAAATGAATTTCACTCCATATTCTTTAGCAGAGCTGTAGCAAACGAGAACAACCGGGGTCAGGTCTGTGAGACTGAGCATCATGATATTATCAGGGAATCCAATTAGCTCAGTTGATGTTAACCAATCCAGTGCAGGACGTGGGATAGTAGGAGGAAACCACAATGGCTGAGCCACTGTACCACCACTCATAGTAATGACAGTTTATTAGTCAGAGGTCTCATACTCATGTTTATCAGGACGCAGAAGATCAAATAAGACAAGAACAGTAAAACAACAGCCTTGTGTCCATGTTATAATCCCTTGCATGTGGGTTGTTTTTGTTTTTAAATTGGTAGTCTAATGCTTTTGTTTGCATTGTGTAAAATGGAAAAGTTAATTCAAGGAGAAATCTGTTTGAACGCTTAAAAGCTTCTTGTTCATTAAATCTCCACCTTTTTACATGCATATACAACAATCTGAGAGATTTTTCCCAACCTCTGTAAATTCATGATCGTGTTCGAGAAGCTCACAGTCAAGCATTGCGAAGCTGAATGCTGAATGATAAGTGTTTTGTTTTTGTTGTTTTATTTTTTTTTAATGCTGTTGTTTTTCAGAGGTCCATGTCAGCATTGCACTCCACTACAGGAAATAACACAAGTATTGAGGCCAAACTTGGTCAGGGAGCTTCCTCAATTTTTTTTACACTCATTTAAACATCCTCTGTGGTTGCACCAGGAAATCCCACTCAAGTCAGCTTACAAACGAAAACAAGATACTGAGTCCTTGTTGGGCAAGAAAAAAAATAGTTAATATTTCCATGTTATCAAGCTTGTCCAAATGCTATAAAACAGAGGTAGACACATTAAAGTTGTTGTTGTTGTTAATTTATTTCAAACATGGAAACGATATACAGTTACATTTAGTAAAGAAAATAAGAGAGAGAGAAAAAATACTATACAAAAGTCAATACATTTCAATATAGCTACCGTTCTGATTCATTTACATGTTGAAAGGGAGTGGGAAGAAGTACACACTTATTTAATCCCACACCATTGCCATAAGTTATCAGTTAATATTTAGTAAGCTTCATTACTGATATAATATGTAATAAAAATAGTGAGCAGATTTCTGATATAATATATCATAAGTTTCTGTTGTTGTTTTATTATTCCCTATCAGCCACTGAGTTATGTTTTCTGAGTTTGCCCATACAGTGGATATAAAAAGTGCCAGGTTTTTGTAATGTTAAAAAATGAGACCACAGTCATCCAGTCCAGCTCTTTGCAGTGTCACTCTCATCCCATATTTTCTTCACTTTTTTGATGACGCAGTCTTTACTGTGCTCTGTGTTGTGGTATTTTCAATGCCGTGGAATTTATTTCTGTAAACGTTTGGCGACTAATAAGATCAGTGTGATGCTTTGCAAGCTCTCTGCGAGGGTGCCAACCTTTTCCTGTAGCAGGCAAGTGAGTAAATGTCAGGCGAATCCTACTAGAACGCCTGAACTTTACCTGGGGGTTAATCAGTCTCTTTAACTGATGTCGAGTGTATACCCAAGAAAACGGAACGCTGTGATTCAATAACGTGAAGTAGTTATGAGAGTGCACACGGTTTTATTTTATTTTTTTATTTCTCCTCGAACAGATTTGTTTCTTTTTTCAAATGATTGTGCGGGTTAAGGTGGGAGCATTTTGAAATCATTTATTGTTGTCTAATTAACATCACAAAAACCTGGAATCTTAACAGGTGTGTCTGTGTTGGGGTGGGTGTAGTAGTTAATAGTTAATTTGCTAATTATGTCCAAAATCTTTGCAAAAATGTCTAAAAGGATAAAAGTGACAACTACAAGGTCAAAGGTTAGCTTTGCAGCTTTGCAAAAATTTAGCCAGATGTTATATTTGTGACAATAATCTTCCATCTTTAAACTACAGTTATTTAAGACCTTTTCTGCTGCTGGGTTAAAAATGTGTGTGCTACGCATCTGTTTCTGGCATTTTTGTAGCAACATCCATATTTGAAGGATTGCCTGCTGTCATTAGTTAAACCTTTATTGGCCAAACATCAGTATAGTTTATACCTTCTTATTAAACCTCTTCAGAATCATCATTATATTTATTAAGTGAGTTACTGACTGACTGGCTGGCAGAGGCATTCAACAGCTAAGCAGTAATTCTAGTTCCTTCTTGTTGAATGCAGCACAGAGCAGTGCAGTGGTAACTGAAGTCCATATAAATCAAAAATGTGCTGACGAGTCTAGGTTGGACACCTATTTCTGTAAGTAGTAGGGAAGTTATAGTTTATTTTTAAAGAGATTTAAAGATGAATTGCATTACTATAAAAACATTCCTTTTTCTTGGAAACTTGTTGGGTCAATTGAAAACTCAATCGGTACCTTCAGCTGACCCTTTTTAAAATTAGCAGGATTTTTTCTGGGACCATAACTTTAGTATATTAAGTAAAAATTGACCTCAATATTATAAATAAGTCTTTTTACAACTGCAGCTATTGCCATCTGGTGGCCTTCAGATAGAATACAGGGTTAAGGTACTTCTGCATTGGCTTCAGTGAAGTAGCATCTGTATGATGTCTAATGTTGACAGAAACACATATTGGTACTCTCAATGTTTAATCTGTTTATTAAATTTCACTGGAGGAAAAACTTGAAAAAATGTTTTTGAGCATATTTTGGAAGGGTCAAAAACCCATGTGGAATAATGGTTGCTCAAAAAAAAGTAACAGCGTATGAAAGATCTCATCTGTTAGGCTCGTTTTGACACCAGGCTCGTCTTCTAGCTGTTGCTTTCTGGTCCATATTTATATTGTATTATCTTACATTATACATATGGACCAACAGGCGACTGTTGTTGTGATTTGCTGCTATATAAATAAAATTGAATTGTAAATTTAATCAAATTATTTCTGTATTATAATCACTTTCTAATCTAGTCCTTTTCTAACACACATAAATGTATCCTATAGCTGTGAAATGGAGAAACACACTGTTCTATGTAATAGTTTAGTTTAACTCCTTTCTTTTTTTAAATCCAATATGATCACACACATCACTGGGTGATCTGAGTATCAGCAAGGGACACTGAACTGAACACAGGGGCTGAATGTCCCCATTCAGAGTTGAGTGAAGTGAATATGCCAAAAAAAACATTGTCACAAACTGTGAGTCCACTGAAACCCCGAGACCCTCTGTGATCAAGCATGTAGGAGTTGATGTGAAACTGATTTGGTTACAGTCTTAAAATGTATTTTTCAGTCCTTTTAGAAGTTATGACAGTTTTAAAAAAAAAAAACTGTACTCAAAACATATTAATAATATTCAGGGTAGAATCTTGCATGTCTTTATTAAATACATTAAAGTTAATGAAGAGAAAATTATTCTCAGGGCATCAGGTGGAAACTTATATTAAGATGTTAGAACCTGTCATAAAACTAACCACAGTACATATTATTCAGTGAATTGAACACAAGATGTTTGAGGCGGAGTTATTAGAAGGAAAGAAGGAGACGTTGAAACCTAATGGTTTTACCTTTCAGGTTCAGTCTGCTTTGAAACTTCATCTTCAAAGCGTCTTTCTTTAGCTTTCTCATTCTCCTTGCAGCAAACTGTGCGCTCACCTTGTGCAGCGCTGCCTTACAGCATCAGAAGAGCATCTGCCTGTTAGATATCCACACATTATGTTTCTCCAAAGCTAATTCTGTTAGTGTGCAGGTAGATGTATATCTTATTGTTTTCATATCACTTATCCTCTAAATAGTAACTCTTTAGTGAGGACTCAAATTTCATGTGCGGGAGCCAAATTCTGGACTACATTATACATATCCGTGACACCTACCTACCCATGTTTTTGTCTCCACAGGGGACTTGTTTGGTCAGCTTATGAGGCAGGATCCCTCCACCATCAAAGGCGCAGAGACCTTAATGCTGGGAGAGATGCTCACATTACCACAGAACTTTGGGTAAAACACCAATCAGCTGTAACTCTTTAAAGTTAAAAACAGCAGCAAGTGCTTTTTTTTAAAAAAACAACAACAACGAATTCTTGTCTTCACATCATACAGAAATATATTCCTCGGCGAGACCTTCTCCAGTTACATAAGCGTGCATAATGACAGCAGCCAAGTTGTTAAAGACATTCTGGTGAAGGTACTGTAAAGAAGGAATACCTGCTCAGTTCAGATTGTGCGCTTTGTCTTCCATTCGCACGTAATCACGATGTGGTTCCCTATGTAGGCTGATCTACAGACGAGCTCGCAGAGGCTGAATCTCTCCGCATCAAACTCTGCAGTCGCAGAGCTCAAACCCGAATGCTGCATCGATGATGTCATTCACCACGAAGTCAAAGAAATTGGGACACACATGTGAGTGTTCCCACTCCCGAAATGTTTTTCCCAACTCACCAGTAATAAAAAAATTAATAATAATAATAATAATAATAATAATAATAATAATCCTGTTTGTTTGTTGCTGTTTTCACATTTCCAGCTTAGTTTGTGCAGTCAGTTACACCACCCAGCAAGGGGAGAAGCTCTATTTTAGGAAGTTCTTCAAGTTCCAGGTAAGTTATGGCTCAGTGTTCTAATTAGGAGATGGTTGTAAAGTCACGAGTAAGCTTAGAGATGAGTGGAGAAATGCCACAGAGCTACAACAGATTGCCTTCCTCTGTGTGGGTTTGGTGTCAGGCAATCTTCTGCCCTCAGTTCAATAACCAGCTGTAGCCTTGCTGCCTTTCCTTTAGATGAATTTCTGTCACTCTGATTCCCACTTTCAGTAAAACTCCAGTTGGACTAAACAGTACTGCATGGAAATATTATTTTCAGCTCGATGGCGGTATCTTATGAGAAAACTTCAGTGTTCAGCTTGCAATCTATTTTTAATCAGGTTTTGAAGCCGCTGGATGTGAAGACGAAGTTCTACAACGCAGAGGTAAATTAGCTCTTCTCAAGCAGCATTGCGAAGCTCTTATTTCATTTTATAGTCAGGAACATTTACAATAGAGGCAGTTAGCATTAGTTAGGCCTCCATGAAAACCTGTGTGCCTCCAGGTGAATAAATGATCCTGGAGATAAGTGGTTTTCCTGGATAAAGGCATTAAGCCCCCTCCTTTTTTTTTTTTTTATATACTCTCATTTTCATATCAGTAGCTTCGTGTATTGCAAATATTCATTGTCATCAACATTGGCATGTAACTCCATTTGTTTACTGTGTCTTGTCTTGTATTTTATTTTCTCCATTAGAGCGACCTCAGTTCTGTGGTAACTGTTTCTTCTGTTATCATCACTGAACATTAGCTTCTACTAATCATTTCTGGCGATGGACACTTTCTTTCTGAGCTCATACAAAGGTGCAAAGTAAAAGAATGGAAGAAAGTCTGAATATAGAAAAGATCTTCAGTGACTCAGTTGTTTGTTACCCCTTGACATAAACTTCCATTCTTTTTCTTTTGCCCTCACTTTGTTTCCTCTTCTTTCAAACTGATCCTGCACGGTGTTTGTGGTGTCACATTGTTGTGAGTGGGTACGGCATTGATTGCGGTTAGCATCACAGAAGGTGCTATGATTAATCTCGTATCTATTCGTCTATATGTGAATGATTATGTAGTAGCGCAAGTTCAGCGCTGCTCGTTTTTAAAGTGGACCTATTACTCTTTTCATATGCTGTTCCTGTTAAACACCAACAAAAAACCTCTGCAAAAGCACACACAACGGTAAACGGCTAATAGCAAGCATGTATCTACACTATGATATGAATCATGTGATTAAAACGCACGTTACTTTACAGTGTTTTTCTGTTAGCTGGTGTTTCCTTAAGTTGCACTCCATTTGACCTTTCAGGGCTGCCAGTGTGCAAAGATCACAGGCTTTAACCTGCTTCAGTTTCACACAGGTTTTTTTCCTTTTGTCATAGAGAGTGGACATCCCTAATGTGGCCATCTAATCAAACAGCTCAGACTATAAGCGCGGAAGCCCCACCCACCTGCTCTTCACCCTTCTGTTTGCAAGGGTCAGCCAATCAGAACAAAGTTACTTAATTTGTGCTGTGAATCACGAAACGCTGCCCTAGTGCAGTCTGAGAATAAAATATTGAGCTACAAAAAGCAATTTAATAGGTCCACTTTAACTTTTGTATCACTACAATTATGCTCTCAATAGTTAAACAGCCAACAATGACAGAAGTCTTTCACTATAAGCACTAAAATGTGAGGTTTGGCTGATTTCACACTAACTTCACTCAGAATGATCAAGTCACTTATGAATAACAGGCACAAACTTATCCACGCTTCCTTCTTTTTGTTTCTCACTTTACAGTTGTGGCTGCACAGACAAGTTTACTGTTGTAAAGACATCTGAGTGTTGCTCAACCAGATGCATTTATTTACTTGTGCCTCTGCACAAGTAAATAACTGTACTCTTAACCGGTAATGATTGCTCTCGAATATTAATAAACTTATTGTTTTACTTACTGCTGAGCGACTGAGTAGCAGTATTGAATTTGGCCTGTTACTACACAATACCAATACTTTTCACCTTTCCAAATGGTTTCATTTTTGAGCTGACCAATTTTATATATTTATAAAATCGGTGTACACTTGCAAAAGTTTTATTTTTCTATTTTTTGGTTCTAGTTTAAGCTTTCTAAGAACCCATAACTAGGGTCGCTCAGTGGCCCCAGAAGTATAGTTGTACACCATAAGATCTAAACTGGTAGAGCCAGACATTTACTGCCTGGCGTTACCTTGCTCCACATTTCCTGTCTTGACAGTACTGAACAAATAAAGTCAAACACTTCTAAACATACTTTCATAAGCCAAACTGCTTGATGTTTGATAAACTAATGTTTCACTGTGCAGCCCGTACTGTGCACCTGCCGACCAACAATTGTACTAATATGTCCTCAAAGGTACACTGAGCAAACTTAATAGGATTCAGTTAAAGTTTTTTTCTTTTAATGCCAGTCTTCTCATTGACATTCAATGTATAACTCCTATATGACCAAAGAAATTTAAGGTTCACATTTAAGTCTGTCTTAAAACACCTCTCAGATGTCTGTAAGAGTTACAGCTTCCTGTGATCTGTGGTGTCCATGCTGGCTGTGAGAAACTTCCATACGTTTCCTAGAAGAAAACAGAAAAATCTGATTGCTCTCTGTCATTTTCAGTGAGTCGAACATTAATTCCTTTCGAGAGCAGCACTCGCAGCATCTGTGGTCTGTCTTTTCTTTTTACACGGCGTCAGAAGTTATATTTTTAGTATCATTCCTCAAAGTCTCAGAGCACATTTGTGACGACAACGGGTCACAGATGTGCTCCCCAGTAAAGAAGTAGCGCGTGCTGTGAGAACCAATGAAGCAAGTGTGCTTGCTGGATCAGGAGGTTTTACCCACTTCCCTCGGGGAAATAACCACGAGAAACTCTAACAGCCTCTGTGAGCATGTGAATATCGTTTTAAGACAAACTTTAAAATATGAGCTCATCCTTTTGAAGCTGGCACATTGGCAAAAGCCCTAACCCAGCTGTTAATACCTGACATGTTGCTCAGTTCACCTTGGAGATTATGTAGCTTGTTATAAAGGCTAACATCAAATAGCCTGTTAGTGTGACGCTGTGCTTCTGCGCTCAGACAGATGAAGTGTTCCTGGAAGCGCAGATTCAGAACATTACCACCTCGCCAATGTTCATGGAGAAAGTGTCTTTAGAGCCATCCATGATGTACAACGTTACAGAGCTCAACACGGTCACACAAGCAGACAAAGGGTAAAACAAACACACATGTGTCCTTATTTTTGATAACATTTTACACTCAATACTCAGCTGTAACTTTTCCTCTGCAGAGAGTCCACATTTGGGAAAATGTCCTACCTGCAGCCTATGGACACACGGCAGTATTTGTATTGCCTGAAGCCAAAGCCGGAGTACGCAGAGAAGGCCGGCATCATCAAGGGAGTGACGGTCATAGGCAAGCTGGACATTGTATGGAAGACCAATCTTGGAGAAAGAGGGAGGCTACAGACCAGTCAGCTGCAAAGAATGGTATCTTGATCTGTTAGCCTACTGCTAGAACAGAGGCGCTCATTTCACTTACTGTATCCTCTTATGAACGAAAATACAGTTTAATCCCCACGTGTCCTCCAGGCTCCAGGGTATGGAGATATTCGGCTGTCTTTAGACCTGATTCCTGACACTGTCAACCTTGAAGAACCTTTTGACATCATCTGTAAAATCACCAACTGCAGGTAGAAACCCCTGAAAAATGAAATCGCCCTCATAATACAACCCTTAGTATTATTCAGTTCACTGAGGGGTTGAATTAGCCCATAATAACCAGCTTTTCTCTGCTTTTCTGATATTGCAGTGAAAGAACTATGGACCTGGTGCTAGAGATGTGTAATACTAGTTCTATCCATTGGTGTGGTATATCAGGGCGACAGCTGGGGAAACTTAGTCCTGGCGCCTTCCTCTCACTGCCCCTCACAGTCCTGTCTTCCGTCCAGGGTCTGCAGGTACGATCCAGACTTTACAATTGACCGTGTGCTCAGATCGAAGTGCTCTTTACCGACTTACTCGTGTGTTTGCCTCTTTGTTTCAGAGCATTTCTGGTTTGAGGCTCACAGATACATTTCTGAAGAGGACGTACGAATACGACGACATTGCACAAGTGTGTGTGGTCTGCCCGTTTACGAGCAACGAGTGCTAGGAGTTTTCTTTACCCCTTTTTTGTTTTTGTTTTTTTGCATTTTACATATGAATGGACCAACTGCGGCATTCTGCACATGACACTATGTTTTTTGCAACTTAATGGAAGAATATTGTATTTTACAATTAATTGTGAATAATATAAATCACTTTCTTTGAAAATAATGATGTAAATGTGCATAAATGTTAATAAATCTGTCATCTTTGATTTAATATTGCTTTTAAAAAGGTGCTTCATGGCATCTGTGTTGGCTTTTGTTATTAAAACTCTTACAAAGGCACAGACATGTATTTACTGACTTGATCAATGAGTTTTTGGAAACAGCAGGAGCTGTGTGAGGCTACTAAAGGCAGGGCTATAACATTTTTCTGTCATCATTTAGATTAAGTCCAAGAGTTGTTAGGTGTGGATAATTAAATTATAGTTTAATGCAATAGCAAGTTGTGCCTTGTTCTCAGATGGACAGCAAGTGGAGAGTGATATATGAAATGAAGGAATGGAAGGAAGAAGAGAAGCAAAGAGTGATTCACAGGCAAGACATCCAAGCGCTGTCACCAATCTTTGCATTTTGTTATTATCTCATGATACTTGTTTAATCAGCTACCGTCTCTCCTATGGACTTTTTAATGTCTACAGTCTCAGATCAACACAGCCCTGCCCTCCAGCACTATCAGCAGCAGGAGCAGCAGAAACCCCTCAACAGCAACATTGTACTGTGGCTGTAGCTCAGGTGGCAGAGCAGGTCAGCCACTAATCAGAAGGTCGGTGGTTCGATCCCAGGCTGCCTCCTGGCTGCATGCCAAATATCCTTGGGCAAGATACTAACCCCATGTTTGCCTACTGGTGGCACCCGCCCCTTTAAACCTCTCTGCGCGGCCCTGGTCAGTGGCTTCTATCTCCTCCTTTGGCCAGCCTATTACCCCAGCAGGGTACCTGATCACGGGCAGGGCGTACGTGTTGATGGCCCGGATCTTGTTCTTACCATTCAGCTGACTCCTCAGGACTTGCCTGACCCTCTGCAGGTACTTGGTGGTTGCAGCTTTTCTAGCGGCCTCTTCATGGTTCCCATTTGCCTGCGGGATCCCCAGGTACTTGTAACTGTCCTCTATGTCTGCAATGTTGCCTTCTGGTAGTTCAATCCCCTCAGTTCTGACTACCTTCCCTCTCTTTGTTACCATCCGACTACACTTCTCCAGTCCGAACGACATTCCAATGTCATTGCTGTATAGCCTGGTAGTGTGGATCAGTGAATCGATGTCTCGTTCACTCTTGGCATACAGCTTGATGTCATCCATGTACAGGAGGTGGCTGACAACTGCTCCGTTCCGTAGTCGGTATCCGTAGCCAGTCTTGTTAATGATCTCACTGAGGGGGTTCAGGCCTATGCAGAACAGCAGTGGGGACAGAGCATCTCCTTGGTAGATCCCGCACTTGATGGTGACTTGTGCTATGGGCTTGGAGTTGGCCTCTAGTGTTGTACGCCACATCCCCATTGAGTTCCTGATGAAGGCTCTTAGGGTCCCATTGATCTTGTACAATTCATATATAAATATAAAAAATACACATACATACACAGGTAGTAGAGGATGTCGGACTCTCGGGCCACTCTCATGAAGTCTGCTTCTGATTGTTTGGTCAGACATTTACACCAATGTCCTGCTGGAGGTGATTTTGTAGGGCTATAGCAGAACTCACTCTGTCCTCCTTGCACAAAGGAGCAAAAACCGATCCTGCTGATGAGTTCAGGACCTTCTCTGGCCCTGTCAAGCTCTCCTAGTAACAACCTGTTTCCTGGAATCTCCATGGTCTTGGGACTGTGCTGGGAGACACACAGCAAACTTTCTGGCAGTGGCACACACTCATGTGGCATCCTGGAGAAGTTGGACTACCTGTAGGGTCCAGGTATCCCCTCATGCTACCAGTGATGACACTGATCCCAACAAAATGCAAAACTAGTAAAATAAATAAATAAAACAGAAAAGATGAAGAAGAAAAAACATTCCTGTTTTGGGGGGTGTCTCATTTTTGCCCCTCTAGTTCTGCTACTGTTACTGTATTTAACACCAAAGCGGCTGAAACTTATTAACAACCGCCTCTCTTACTTAACTGATCACATCAGTATCCCACAAGTTCAACTGACTCGATGCTGTACTCTGATTAAAAAGTTCCCTTCATTTTTTTGATCATTATACTGTCCTGTTCCAGGTCTCACTCACTGTGGGGTCTCCTTTAACAAAGAGTCCTCAGAGTGGCCCCTGTAAATAATCCTACTCTTGCTTACCAACTCCAAATTCTAGTTGAAGTTCTCATGTTCCTAATAAAGACTATTAAACTTGTGACTGTGTCTGGGTCTTGATGTTCTGGTCTTTATGACTATGGATAACTTGAAAAGTGGTGGTTCATCCAAAATCTTGTATTTGTTTGCAAAAACTAAAGTTCTTTGTCAGTGAACAGTTTATTGAGCTCAAAAGAAAAACTTAATTTGAAATTATGTGAAGCAGATCAAACTGGTATGGTCTTTGGTCAGAATAACAGCTGATTTGAAGTGTGTCCTCATCTTTAATTTCCTTGCCTGACGTGATTTCACTGACACTGAACGGCCACTGTATCAAAGTCTGTTCTGTAACAACGTGAACACGACTCAGCTGCTTATGTCAATAGCACAAGGTTCTGCAAAACACTGGCTTTTGCATGAATTGTGATGGTGGAGAGCATTTTTGGTCACACAACTAAAGTAAAAGAAAAATTACTGCAGAGAAGAAAACGTGTAAACACCAAAAAGCACATAGTGTGGAAAATGAGCCCAAGGGTATAGCAGTACTCATCCTGTTCCTCCTCACACAAAGGAGCGGATACCATTTCTGCTGATGGGTTAAGGACCTTTTACAGCCCTGTACAGCTTTCCTAATAACTGCCTGTTTTCTGAAATCTCCTCCATGCTCTTGCAGCATACAGCAATCTTTCTGGCAGTGGCACGTGATGATGTGGCATCCTGGACGAGTTTGACTACCTGTAGGGTCCAGGTATCACCTCATGCTACCAGTCAACACACAATAACACTGACCCTAGCAAAATGCAAAACTAGTTAAAAAACAGTGGCAAAAGATGAGGTGGAAAAACTGCACCTGTAGAACCATTGCTATTTTGGGGACTGTCTCACTGTTGCCTCTCTAGTGCACTTGTTAATTTCATTTACACCAAAGCAGCTGAAACACATTAACAACCCCCTTCTGTTAACTTCACAGACCCGATCAGTATCAATTTCAAAACACTTGATCTTGAAGTATCCTTGGGCAAGATGCAGAAATGTGTGTAAATGTTTTGTAAAAAAAAAAAAAAAAGTGCTCAGGCACTGAAAAATAGCACAGTATGAATATGTGTGTGTGAATAGGTAAATTAGCCTTGTAATAAAAAAGTGGTTCACTGACAGTAAACAATGATTCTTTTCATATAATAATGACATTAATTCAAAGACATAAAGGCGCATGTGAGTAGTTTCGTTTCAAGACATTTATTATTTATATGGTTTAGACAAAACAATGTGCTGCCTTAGCATACCTGTGTTTCCATAAAGCATCTGATCTCAAATACCAGATTCAACAGCATGCAAACTGAACAATATGAATATGCTGTAAGTAGTTAATCAGAAATTAAATAGGCTTAAAGTTAGGATGTTAATTTTAGCTAAAGTGCTGTAACAACATAATGCAGGCGGCAAACACTGGTATACAATTAGACTGTTGTCTTAATTATGTTAAGTAGTACTCACTGAAAACCACTGATGTGAGTCTCAGGAAGGAACGGTGTTCATCACCCAATAAACAAGTACAGTGCATTCTGTCTACAAAAATAAGACTAAACAAATAATATAAACCCGATGTGTCTCTTGGCATACAGCTTGATGTCATCCATGTACAGGAGGTGGCTGACAACTGCTCCGTCCCGTAGTCGGTATCCGTAGCCAGTCTTGTTAATGATCTCACTGAGGGGGTTCAGGCCTATGCAGAACAGCAGTGGGGACAGAGCATCTTCTTGGTAGATCCCGCACTTGATGGTGACTTGTGCTATGGGCTTGGAGTTGGCCTCTAGTGTTGTACGCCACATCCCCATTGAGTTCCTGATGAAGGCTCTTAGGGTCCCATTGATCTTGTACAATTCATATATAAATATAAAAAATACACATACATACACAGGTAGTAGAGGATGTCGGACTCTCGGGCCACTCTCATGAAGTCTGCTTCTGATTGTTTGGTCAGACATTTACACCAATGTCCTGCTGGAGGTGATTTTGTAGGGCTATAGCAGAACTCACTCTGT